GCGATAAAGACGTGGGATTGCCAATTAAGACGCGTAAAAGCACATGGTGGTGGATCCTTGAAAATCAGATACATTAAAACGCCTGAAAACGCATGAAAGCTTCTAATCGTTGTTGTTGTTGTTGTTGTTATTTTTTTATTATTATTTTTTTAATCAGAGAGTTGACATCATCGTAAACTTATATCAAAGAAAATTTGACATGTACACTATATAATTTTTTTTTATTTTTTATTTTTTTAATTTATGAAAAAGCTACTTGGTGCAACCCAAAACAGTGTGTTAGGCGGTGTGTAGGCCGTCACATGATAAACATAAAAATAAAAATAAAAAAATTATTGAACACATGTGCTCTCATTGTATTGCATACTCTGCCGCCACAACTTCGGCCAACCAATTCGGCAAAACTACTTTTATATAGCAATTCTCCATCAATTATATATATATATATATATATATATATATATATATATATAAAACCGATCCAGCGTAAGCTTACAACACTGACTAGAGGCCAGTGGATGTTGATCGCAACCCGGCTCTTATGGTAAATGGCGAAGGGATCTTAGGCCGTCGGGGATCGACTCCAGAGCAAGCCTTAGCTCTTCACGCTCTGAATTTGAGACGAAATACTTAATACATGTTATCAGTTTTCATTATTTGGGGAATAAATTTTTTGGTTCTTCCTTTCATAAGGATAATACTATGTGGTTCATTAATTAATTAAACATTTTTTTTTTTTAAAACTCAGACATGTAGATAATTAATATATTATTTTTATGCTTGTGTGAAGCACTCAATTATAAAATTTGATATTTTAAGCAAGACAATCATTTTTCCAATGCATAAATTGAGTGGTATGCATCGAATTTTTTTTATATTAATTTACAAAATTATAAGTCAGGATAGTGTTCACTGTTGTTCTCAAAGTCGTGTTGTTGAGTTATTCGTGATTCCTTCACTACATATGCATTTCTTATGCTCTTATATACAAATAAAGTAATCATTGTTCATGTGATACCAATTTCAAAAAATATTAAATCAGTAATGACTTCGATTCAAAACAAAAGCAAACTGTTTTTAATTGTTTAGCTAATTCTATATCTTAAAATTTCCTTCAACATTTCCATTCGCTCATCCCTCCACATCAATTCAGATGGAATGTTTTCAATACTCGAATGTATGTATACCCCACCATTTTACATATGTCTAAAGGTCTTAAAATATACCGCTACAATACAAAATTCTAGATTTGGAACCCTCCTCAAGAATATCTAAGATATTTATAACTCCACCAAAGATTTGTAAGACACTTTTTTAAGAATTTAATGGGTCGTATTATCAGTCATGGTCACGATATTAGTTGCGATCGCGATATAATGGATTCAGACAAATTCAATATAAACTGATCGATGCAAATCGCATATCAGACTTGAAAAAGAGTCGCATATCGAATGATACGTTGCGTATCAAATGATACCTCGCACAAACCATGGACCATACAACTTTACAAAAGTATACAACATTTTGGAAGGGTGAAACCATCTAACGTAGTTGTGGGTTCTTGTCCCCTTTTTGTGCCTTAACCTTCCTTTACCAAAAGACCAAATGGTCTAACGGTATCACCCCTTTCTCTCTAAAGGGGAGGTTGGGGTTTTGAACCTCAGTGGAAGTAGTGTGTATGTGTAATTGCTTTAACTTTCAAAAAAAAAAAAAAAAAGATCCATTGGGCTTGTGGAAATGAATTTCCGCGATCCAATTTGGTCCAACCGAAATGCGAAAAGTAGGCCCAAGAGCCTCGTCACCAATTTTGACAACCAAGCCCGCAATCGCACGCCTGTGTTGCGGGCCTCAATTCTTTTTTTCTTTTTCTTTTTCTATTTTTTTTCTGTACAATACTGAATTAACAGTCATTAAGACATTATTTGGCTGACACAAATAGTCTCAAAACAGTTTTTAGGTCAAAAAAGCCGAAGTAAAATTTAATTTTATCGTTTTCAATTCGAAATGAGTGTTTATATAAGATAAAAAACTATAGTCGTTTGAAATATTGCCTTTAGAAGTATAGCGGTTGGAACAAAGTAAAAAAATAAATACAAAAATAAAAATTTATAAAAAAATTATAATTTTTAAAGAGCACACCATTATAACACATTCCATAGCTAAAATTTGTAAAGTTTTTTTTTAAGAAGGTTAAGCAAACTCACACACCCATACCTAATCCACTAAGACTCAAACCCGACCTCCCTTTTGAAAATGAGGGTTTTATATCGGATAAGCTATTGCCCGGGACAAACAATGTGAGTGGGGGTGGTACTTGCCCCTTAAAAACTCTTTGGTCGGCGCCCTCGCCCTCCGGCCGAGCTGCTTAAGCAAGAGCCCTTGTCCTCACCGTTGGATCCACCTTTGAAGAAAATGTAAAATATCCTCTTTATCTAATCAAATAAATTTTCAATTCTAAAACAGATAATGGGGGACTCTCTGTCCCTACATAACAAATGTTATAAAAGGCTTCATGAATCCGGCTTGTCTGAGCCTACACTGGATCCTCGGAGCTATTATCCATTTGATAAAATTTGAAAAGTTCAAAACATTAACGTGACTCTTGAAAATATTAACCTACAAATTTGGAGGGTTGAATTTTAAAAATATCAATGGATATGCTCTTAAGTGACATTAGTACACGTACACTCCCCTCCAAATTGCAAAGCTACGCGGTTTCGTTTACTGGCTAGCACAAACCTCCGTTAGCACTTAGCACGGTAAACAAGAGCAAACCTTGTATTACCAATTTTACACCTATAAAGTTTCAAATTTACCCTTAGAATTACAATGAAGACAAAAGCAATCTTAGTTATAAGAAAATTACCCCCAACATCATCATTACAAGCTCTTACAAATTAATTTTATTTATTTATTTATTTTTATTTATACTTAAATCATTTCCAAGTCAATATGCTTGATGTGGAGGAAGTTTCTTGCTCAGGATGAGTAAGAGATCATTACTCTTTAACTTAAATCTTATATAATGCTAGTGTGTGTGTCTATATATATTATATTATAGGAAAATGACAGTGGTGTTCAACTTCTCCTAGTGAGCTATACTCACTTTTAATCCTAGCTTTAAATCTAATCCAACTGCAATTAGTTAGTCAACTTTTCATTTTCATATTTTAAGAAAGTTAATCTTTTTTTCTATTACCATTATACATTATCAACAGGAAATGATAAAACTAGATATGTGATTACAGAAAACTAAATTAAACAAATTTGGTTAGGCTTTTCGTCTCTACTTCTTGTTGTTTCCTTTCCCGGGAAAAAAATAATAATAATTCATCCTTGTCGCTAACCGTGGTTCAATCACGAATGGCTAATTTAGAAATTCTCAAAGAAGTGGTGTTTGAAAAAAAAAAATCCCTCCCATCATTCGTGAGAAGCTAATTAAGAAATTTATAAAGTAATAGCATTTGAACAAAAAAAAAAAAAAAAAAAAAAAAAAACCTATATTGAGTCCTTACTGAAGTCTATTTTCAAATGCTTTTAGATGAAAAATAGAAGAATGTGTTCATCATGTTCCAAATGCGTCAGTTGCAATTTTTCTGCAAATATGATGTGATTGTTAGCAGATCCATGTGTTCCGAAATATGATTTGCAGAGAATATATATATTTGCTTATGCTTGCTAGAGGTCTTTCTCCAACAAAATTTATGTATGGCCTATTCTATGTTTTAATTCTAATGGAATGATGTACCAAACACCACATTAATATATGACCCTCATGGTTAATTTCTTCCCTTGGGTTTTGATTGTTGCCTAAATAAGAGATATCTGCTATGCACATTTGCCCTATGTGCGTGTGATTAAAGACACATCATTATTTCCTTGGAAATTAGTGTGGGGATGGTGATTTATAGGGATTTTTTTATTTTTTATTTTTCAAAGGATATGCTTTTTGCACGATAAGCGTTGCGTACAAATTTTTATTTATTTATTTTTGTCCGCAAAGGAACGACAAACTGAAAAGTCTAGCCAAATTGATTTACTTTAGTTTGTTTTGATATGTCTAGTTTTATCATTTTCTATTAGGAAAAAAAAAAAGAAGTAAGTTTCTTGTGATTTGAAAAGAAAGAAAAGCTATTAACTAATTTTCGTATGATTATAAAATTAAGATTAAAAGTGAGTATATTATTCCATGGTCATCGGGAGCCATTGAACACGGCTACAAAAATGATATATATATTATAATTTATATATTTCATTCGTTTCAAAATTATTATCCATTTTCTTATTTTTGAATGTCCTAAAAATATAAGTCCTATTAAAAAAAACAAATATACTATTTTTATAATATTTCCGAACAATGTTTTTGACCTAAGAGTCTACAATTTCGCAAATTAATAAGTTTAGTCTTAAAATTATAACAGATCAGTTTAAAAATTCAAAGCTGACAATGACATACATTCCTACAAATTTAAAATCCCCAAAAAGTAAAAAAACAAACCCACCTAATTATTTCCAGAGGAGAGACAACCTTTCATGCCAACGTGGCACTGACATGGTGCACACTTAAATTGAAGCCTAATCTGAAACAGTCTTGGCATTGCAGAGTTGACCATTGACTTCCCTCCCTTTGCATTTAACCCCCTCCGTTTTCGAAACAATTCTCCCCCGTTCTGTTTCTGTCCACTACCGCCCTCCTACAGTCGTTGCAGAATTGCGTGGCACGTTAGGTAGTTATTGCAAAAACCAAGTCCTATTTAGTTCATTACATTTTCATCCCTTAAAATAATAAAAGCGACAGCGATGACTGACATAATAATACCACATGTTCCCGACCCAATCTCACCCCAGCACGTGTAAATCAAACAACAAGAAAGTCCCGTCTCTGATTGGACCGTGTCAAATTAGTAGCTTGTTGGCGCGTGAGAATCATTCCCAGAGTGAAACATTGTGGGGGCTGCTGTGTATATAATTCATGTCCGTATTATGAGGGTCTTTCCTCTTTTCCTTCCTTTTTCTTTCTCTTCCCTCCCATTTCTCTCTCCTCTCTCTTTCTCTCTCTGGATCTCTGATCTAGTTGTCTGATCATCTTCTCCATCAGAATTCAGCTTCTCCTCTAAGTTTTTGCTTCTACATCTAGTGGGTTGATTCTCACTTGTTCTTTGAACATAGATCTATTGTCTATATTGATATATATTACCAGCTAACTTTCAAGGCACAAACATATATATATATAGAGAGAGAGAGAGGGAGAGAGAGATCGAATAGTTATTAGAGAAGTGATCGAGAAGATGACTACTACAGGTAATTTAGCAGGGCAGTTTGGGGACACAACCTATACCAAGGTGTTTGTTGGGGGCTTGGCTTGGGAGACTCAGAAGGAGACCATGAAGAAGTACTTTGAGCAGTTTGGTGAGATCTTGGAGGCTGTTGTGATCACTGATAAGACCACCGGAAGATCCAAAGGCTATGGATTTGTATGCCCTTTTCTTGATTCTTTCTTTCATACTTGCTTCTCTGATTTCATGTTCTTCAACATTATCTATATTCTTTTTTTGTGTTGATGTATTGTCAATGGTTTTATTGCTTTGTCTCGATAATTGTTTGTGTTTTGACAAGATCTTGAAGGAAATGAAAGATCTGGTGATGGGTTTTTCAAATAAGTTTGCGAAAATTTGGGAAATTTTATTTTTTCATTGTTGTGTTTGTGTACAAAGGGAGGGTTGAGATATTGATTTTCATTTTAGGTAACTTTTCGGGAACCGGATGCCGCCATGAGAGCTTGTGTTGATGCTGCTCCTGTAATTGATGGGAGGAGGGCCAATTGCAATCTTGCTTCTTTGGGTGTTCAAAGATCTAAACCTTCTACTCCAAAACATGGTAATTATACATATACATATATACATATACTATTACAATCATATGGGTTTGTCTTGATTATGGTCTCAACCAAAGTTTTTAATTTTCTTTCCACTGTGTTAGATGCTTAGATGTTTTCTACTAATGAAGGGTTTTGCATATACATTTGATCCATTTTGAGCAAACACATTCACATCTTCATGCAGTATATATGAATATTCGTCTAATTATAGAAAAGTTATATTCTAAATAAGCTAGCTTCTTCATTTGTTTTAAAGAATGGTATTTTTTCTTTCTTTCTTTCTTTTTGGTAATTAATTCAGTAAGGTGAAAAATTGATACATTGATCAAAAAGTTTTTAACCATTCAAGAATTTATTTACATGCATCCACTAATAATAGAAAGGTAATGCATGTTCTCCAAAAGCATGACAGCTCATTCTACTACATGTGCCAGTGCTTTTTTCGCTTTTGCATTGTAATTGTTTCCAGTTGGCTTTATATATCTATATATATATGTGTGTGTGTGTGTGTGTGTGTGTGTGTGATGATTTTATAGGAATTTCATTTCATGGGTGATGATTGTATATATGTATATGTTGGTAATTTGGTTTTTAATATATGAAATGAGCAGGAGGAGGAGGAGGCAGGAACTTGAGAGTAATGAGCTCTTTTCAGACAGGGTTTCAAAGTGGAGTGGGAACAGCTTTTCCATCAGCAACAACCTTCCCTCATTATGCCATCCAACAAGGGATACCCTATAATGTCTATGGGTATGTTACATATGATGCATATATATATATATATACATGTATGTATATGCATGCTTTATTATCATCCATACATGTCTCTCTCTATACAGTTTGGAAGCTGCACGTGCATTGCCAACTCATGCACATCTTCCCTTCACGCATGCTATTGCTAGCTCATCCACTACTCTCTCCAAGTTGTCTTAAATGGCAACCATTAACAAATTTATTCCCCTTTTTGTCAAACACATATTTGTTTCTTCCACAATCTCTCTCTCTCTCCTTTTTTTTTTTTTTTTTGTCAACACATATTCCCTCTCTCTCTCTCTCTCTCTCTCTCTCACTCTCACGCGCGCACACACACACAGCTAGCAGTATTAATACTTACGTAAATGAGCTAGAAACATTCACATAATCACAATGTTAATTAATCTTTCCTTGCTACATGTTGTAACATATGCTAAAATGATTGCAACTTGTGATATGCCCATTTAGGGTTAATGCATGTAAGCATTCATTCATGCTCATGCATGCATACTATAGATGTTTTCGTTTGATGGTTCATATATTCTCAATCTTACTTATGTAGTCTTGCGACTCTTTGTTTAGATTACTTATGTAACAAGCTTCAAATTCTAATATATATATATATATATATATATATATTATTATGAAATTTTCTAATTGTTTTTTTTTTTTCTTAATTTGTTTTTTAACACAAGTTTCAGGTACTCTCCATACTCACCAGATTACTCTTATCCTACGGTTTGTTCATACCTCTTATCTTGCTATTTCTACTTCAATATTTCATGATTAGGGTTTGTTGGGAACAGACTTCATAATATTTTGGCTAATTAATTTGATTAATATATGTTAATACATGATTAGTCACATAAGTAAAAATGAATCTATTTTGGGAGTCGTGTTAAATACAGTCGCTATTGTGTCATCGATATTACGTCATATTAAAGTTTTTTTTTTAAATAAATAATGAAAATAGAGAGGAAAAAAAAAAAAACTCACTTAAGGAATTTATGACTTGACTTTGGGCAAAAATGCTCTTGGCGCAATGATTTGACTATACAAATAAAAGCCTACCTTGAAAATATAGTACTGTTATTAAGGTCATTTAATGCTTTTGGTGGAAAAATTAAGTCTAAAATGGTTGACCATTGAAAGACCATTTTATCCTTTTGGTTCCCATAATCTAAAAGTCAAGGCACCAAGGGTTACATGCACATGCAATAGCCAAATAACTAATGATAAATCTAACAATATCGAGAATTTTTATATACTAGTTATTTTTAAATATTGTGGAGATGAAGTTTGAGTATACTGATTTTCTTTTGATCTTTTTTATTTGTTCAGAGTTACTACAGTGTGTATGGAGGGGCAGCTGCCCAGTATCCGATGTACGGAGCGGGGGCTGGCGGGATGATGACCAGTGCAGCCGCGGCGGCCGCATTCTATCCGTATCTAAACTTTGGGGAAGGGAGTGGCGGAGCCACCAACTACACTGCAGCTGCCGGGCAGGGCTACGCGGTCCAGTATCCACACCACCTCTCCCACTATTCCGCTGTGAACTCAACCGGAGGCTACCCGAACCAGTATGGTCCTGTCATGTCTCTTGCACCAACACCTCCACTGCATTCAGGTAATTTCTGATGATTATATATATGGAATACAAGTTATTTTAATTCCCAATTACTTGTTTGATCTCTACTTACCTTTGCCACGAACTTACCAAGCATGAACATTTTTTTTACATGATACTCATTTTGCCATTTTTTGAAAATTCTAGCCAAAAATAGGGAAGAAAAAAAAAGTGTCATAATAAAAGGGTCCTCAGAAGCTAATATTAGATTGTTCCTCTCTATAAAACTATTTATTTCATACTTGTTTTAGCATTGCTGCGATGAGAGCACTCTTATGCTCAACTCAAGCCTTCATCCGTTGGATTGACTGTGTTGCATCATTTGACACTTTATCCAATGGATGAGGAGACAAGCTCATGTGAGAGTATTCTCATCGTAGATATATATATATATATATATATATATATATATATTTCATGTTCTTTGTTGTAATTGCAGTTAGTTCTATTTTGTTGGAAAAGAGGTACTAACATCTTTGACAGTTTGTTTTGCTGTGCCACAGGCGTGACCATGGCTCTACATGCACCAATTCCTCATCGTTAAGAGATTCATTGCAATCTGCTTCGCTACTCTATTCGAGGTTTCTCAACAACCTTGTGGCCTAACCATGGTTCTCTCTCTCTCTTCTCTCTCTCTTTCTCTCTCTCTCTCTCTGTCTCTCTCTGAGGCCCATGCATGGCATTTTGGGCAAATTCCCAATACATTCCAGCTCCCCATAGGAGCTAAAATCACGTCGAAAAGTGGAGGAGAATTATGAAGCAATCAATCTTCCTCATTTCTCTTCTCTTGGAAGGAAAGGTTCCAACAAGAGAAGAAGGAAAAAAAAGCATGTGCATCTCATCACCAACTCAGGCTACCCAATGAGCTATGTTGGTACCACAATGCCCTCTAACTTTTTTAGCCTTGGAAAGGCTAATCAAATCATCTTTTTTTTTTTTTTTTTTTTTTGAAACTTTTAATTAGCCCAAAAAAGGCTAAGAGAAGAAAAAAAAAAAAATATCATAATTGTAACATGGGCTTGCCAGAAAATGTAAATGCAACAACAAATTTCAAGCCTTTTTTCAACTCATAATCAGCTAATCCCTCCAAGTAGTTAATTTAGCTAATTAATCACCTCTATATATACATGTTGTATGGAGGCAATATTAGCAAATTAATCATGGGGCATGGGACACCCAAGTTTTTTTTGTACTAACATAAACCCTAGTCTTAGGATTTTAAAACTGTTGACTAGTGAAATGTTTTTTTGAAAGTTTTATTGATTTCACTTTCTCACATAATCTTTCCCTTGGGGTAAGGGGAGAAAATGTTACTGATTGTTGGTAGCTGTGTTTTTTTTTTTTACTTTGTAAATCAAATAGTGTGGTTAAACTTTGGGAGTTTTTACCACAGTTGACTGAATTGATAGGAGGGATGGTGTTTATTTTTTGCATTTAGGTGTAGCTTTAGTTGTAGGGTTGACAAACATTTAGTTAGGAACTCCACTAAATGGCTGTGGAGGTCAAATGCATCAGAGGTTACCCTAGGGAGATATTTTGGGAACTCTTGGGTACTTCTCCTCTAATTCACATCAACCATGGTTAGGACTCAGGTCATCCTCTCTCTCTCTCTATTTTCTCTCTCTCTCTCTCTCTCTCTCTCTCTCCTTTTTCTTTCTCTCTCTTAAACTTCTTCTACTTTGAGAAGGACATTGATACTCTCTTTATATGTATAAGCCTATGGTTTGGATTGTCAGTAGGATTAATGCTGTTAAAAGCAAGAGTAATTCTCCATCCATACTGGTTGAGAATGGATACTCTACTTACTATTATGTTGCTCAAGTAAATTAGAGACTTCTTTGCTTAATTTTGCTAATGCTTAATTTTGTTTATGTCCATCATGAGAAAATTTTAATGCTATATATATATATATATATATATATATATATATATATATATATATATGCCTAGAGAATGTATAGATTATGGTGATTGTATTGTATTAATTGGATATTGGAACTACCAATCATGCCAAGTGGGAGATATGCCACCCTTGAAGGTGATTCCTGAGCTAATTGGAATTACAAAATATCCAAACAATTTTGAGTCACTAAGTGCTTGCATCTATACTATTCGGAATTGGAATTGAAGGCAATATGAATTCAAATTTAGTTATATATTTTTTAATTTTCAATTTCAGAATTGGAATATTTTAATTTAATTATTATTATTATTTTAAATTTCAATTTTGTGGTGTGGGGTAACCCAAGGCAACATAAATATTTTAATCCGTAAGCCCTAGGGTTCGTGGAGGTATCCTAGCATGTGCATCATGTCCACCAGGCACGTGGGTCTCTTTGTTAATGAAAAGTAAAAGTTATATATATATATATAAACTTTTGGATTCAAAAAGGTTTTTATTTTTTTATTAATTATTATTATTATTTTAAAAATTAATCTAATGAGAACATGAATAAGGAGAATTATGACTGAACTATTCAAGGAACTCTTGTATAATTAGGGAGCACGGATACTCCGTTAGAGGTGTTGTGGCAGAGCTGGTGAACACAGTCCGGAATATACCAAGGACACCATCAAAACATGTTAGAGTCAATTTATGAATATTTTTTACAAAATTTAGGAACTAAATATGTAAAAATAAAATTAGACTTAAAAACCTAATTCATACATTATTTTTGTTTATATATATATATATATATATATATATATATATATATATATATATTTTCCACTTCTTGTAACAAAATGTAAGCCAAATCAGTGAGAGAGAAAACGAAAAGTAGAAGAGGAAAAATAAAATAATAGAGGAAAAAATGGAGACATCCTATTTGAAGTATATGTGTATGATATTATTGTAAAATTGAAAAAAGTTTTATTTGGTATAATAATGTTTTTTATCAAATTTATCGTATTCAAGTAAATAAGGCAGTTATTGTTGTCTCTCGTAAAATAATAATAATAATAATAATAGTAATAATAATAATAATAATAATTTACTACTACCTTCGTGGTGCACTATAGAGTATATGTAATGAAGGGCTTGATGATGTCATCACTTGAGGGCTCACTTGTCCTTTTCGTTACACCTGATCACTGATTTTTGCTTGTACATTATCTCATGAACGATATTGGGCCATCTTCGCTCTTTATCATCGTGCACCAACGAACAATTGTGGGCCACTAAAATGGGCCTTTGTGATCTTTAATAGATCATTGTTGAAAGATAAGAATGTGTACATTTAACATTATAAAAGAAAAATTATCCTTCTCACAGACAATCTATGTTTCAAAGAATTTTTAACTAATAAAAATTTATTAATTAGGTGCTCCGAAATCAGTTGATCCAATCAGAATTTGCCTTATTATCAAATATGTCTATTGGTCAAGACCACGTAATTTTGAAATGTAACAATTTCTCTTAACTAACATATTACACACCAAAGGACCAATTTGCTCAGCGGTATCACCGATTGATGAAGGTCGGGGTTCGAACTTTGGTAAAGGTAAGATGTGTGTGTAATTACTTTAACTTCAAAAAAAAAAAAAAACATTAGAACACCACATGAGGTGAGATGCTTTATAATAAACATGGTTACCAAAAAGTTGTATTTTAGACATATAATACATGTACATACAAATAATTAGAATGTCTTTAAACATATTAAACAATTTACCTATTATGAAAAAGACACATATATATTTTACAATTTTATTTATTTATTTATTTATTACAATGTCTTAAATAAAAAGCAATTATTTTTTTTAGAACTGTGTCCAAGCTTGTAAATACTATGTTAAACTCTGGTAGTCTCCCTTCCATTGCTCTTTGTAGAAGATGCAACATATGTGGTGCATAATGTCCTCCTATCATATCTGGTGCATAATGTCCTCCTATCTCCTCACTGAATCTGTCGTTTCCAGTAATATATTAAGAGTTGTAATTAATAATATTACTTAAAAGAAATTTCATCTTCTATCAGCCCTTGGCTCATATTTTTTGTTAAATGATAGGAAAATAACATTGTAGACACAAATACAACTCATCCATGTAGTGAAAATGAGAATGCTATGTTAGATAATAAGAATCACTAGACAAAATAAGATAAATAACGAACTATAGCGCCTATAAATGATAAAATTAGGGAAAATAGACTTTAATGGGTCAAATTAACGTAAGCCTGATGCACCTACAAAAAGAGGAATATTTTGTTTGTGTAGAAGGTAAGCGATAAAGAGGCTGAACAAAACTCACATGGAATGAAGTAATAAAAAACGACTTAGAAAAATCTTAGTTCAAGAGAGAACATGATGTATAAAAAGAAAAGAATAGAAAAAGATAATTCAATGTCGATAACCGAATAAAATATAGAAAACATAGTGTGTTTTAATCTGGGCTGTTCAATGCCTCTTGCTACTTGGTATTTGGAGTTCTCTTCCTGTTTTTGGCTTTAGAAGTATTCTAAAGAATGTGCACCTATTAACCTATCTCAAATATTGCTAACAAAGGAAAATAATATTTGGTAAAGACAATATACTTTTGGACAACAAACATCCATATTCTAAAGAGTAAGAGTAAAACACACACTAACCTCCATGAGGTCCAGCCTTATTCCACATGCATGCTTAGAAAGGAAGCCAAACTCAACTCTCTCTCCCTCTCTCTGACACACACACACACACACACAGAGGTTGCTACAAAGCCACCATTGAATTAGAATTCAACTAGCTAGGTTCAATAAAAAAACAACCGAGACACCAACAAATGTTACTCTTAAGGAGCGATCATCACTGTCATAAGAGTGTGCACACACATTTCACTACCAAAAATGATGTTGTACAAGTTGCAAACTCAATTTTAAGGGATCCGGATGGTAACCTTCTCCACATCCGTTCAGTCTCATCATTTGCACTATAAATCAACAGTGCAGAATACTACATTGCAGTACCCGATACATTACGGATGCAACATTCATATAACAATGATGTAACACCTACGCAAAACATTTGCATTGAAATGTAACATATATGCAACTAGCTATATCGCGTTGTAACACTACAATACTTTGTTTTCTTTAACAAACTACCAGTCAATAAAAAGATGTGGGCAGAAAAAAGCTCTTGTAACCTTCTCTATATCCATGCTAAAGACCACACTTTGTGGTAGTGCCATTTACAAATATTTATCAAATCAAAATCATGTTGTCAAGAAATAATACTTAACAAGATTTGGAGGGGAAAAAAAAAAATTTAGATAAGACAGTGAAGGGTCGATCATAACCACTAGTGTCTTTGTCTAAACCGCTTGCAAAAGAATACAAACCGATTGATCAGTAAATTAACGGTCATTGTTTGGATCATATGCATTCACAAGTGCACATAGAATGCTGAAAAAAATACGAAGTCCATATTCAAATGGAGAAGCATTAAATTTCATTCACATGGTCGGTATCTAACAGTCATTGTTTCTCCATAAATGTTTTTTCAATGACACTTAACAGGCTTGAAAAGATTGATACTACAAACAATAATATCAGTGTAATTTATATACAAAAGGAATACATTTGAACAAATGGAGTGTGCTTGTTATTATAAGTAGATAATAGTTGTTTGCTTATTGCAATGTTAATCAAACATCCCTTACCTTAAGCCTGACATCTGTTTGGGAATGGAGTGACTTCTTGGGGCTTGAGCTTGAAGGAACAGCACTGAACTTGCGAACCAGGAGCTTAAAACACGGCAAAAATAATACATAGCACGTGGCGAAGACAAAGGGTGCCGCAACAAGCCAACCCAACAACTGCAAAGATTGCATAATAATGAATGATATTTCTATAGTGACTGTGAAGACCAGACTACCGGTAAGAGAATACCTCAGTGATAGGACTAGTATGGTTCAAAATTTTAATGGGAAATGTCCAAGTAGTAGGCCATCTTGCAGGTTTTTTAATATTATAAAAGGAAGTTAAAAAGGAAAAAAAGAAATGAAATGAATGATATATTTATCATATAAATCAATCTCCTTATAAGTAAAACAACATATAATTAAATCAGGGTACATAAGTGGAGGAGTGTTCCTGACTGAGTGACTGACATATTGTGATCAGTGCAAACTGATTTAAGGAACATAATGTTGGGCGATCAATGTGTCCATAAAATGAGCAACTTTGAAAAGAGAATGTTGTGATGAAAATAAGAAAGATAAGGAGGACAAAATTAGAAGTGAATGCATTCTTAACACTGCAGAAGTAGCAAACAATTTTTATAATTATTTTCTGTTTCTCTTCTCTTTGGGTTCTTTGAAAACTGAACCAAATAGGCCCTCAGTTTCCATTATCTCTAACTAAATTTCCAAATTTGTTTCTATAAAATTATCATCAAGAGGATACCTAAAATAAAATTTTCCCTTGACAGTGCAAGCTAGCTTCTGATAAACTTAGTTGGGGCTTAGGATGGGATTCTGGGTTTAATGGATACATGAAGAGATATCCATAATTATATAGCCCATTGTAAACTCGTTACCAAATGAAATATAGAAAAGTAAAACTCCTCATCATCCCATAAATGGAATCACGGCCCATCAGCTTCATATTGGGGGGGGGGGGGGGGGGGGAGAGAGAGAGGCTACGTACCGCATGGAAAATGCTTTGCAGGACGTCCCTTGAAGCATGGCCAGTCAATACCTTCCATAGAGCATCAGATGTTAACGGAAAATGTGGCCCACCAGATATAACTTCACCAAAGCGTAGGAATGGAACCACCAGACTAGAAAGTTTAACACACCAACAGCAATCAGAATAAGTAGATGCACAGTAGACAACATATGCATGTAACTATTAGCTCGGTAAAAGAATATTAGATAAAAAAAACATAAATTGCTGTACATGCCTGTAGAAAGACATGACAGGAAAAGAGAAAAAGGGTCATTTGCTTCTTCCCTCATATTCAACCACCCACTTCCCCTCTCAGTTGACATTTATTACCAACCTCTTTGTAGAAAATTTGGTGCACAGAAAGAGTGATAAATAACATGGCACAATTCACTTCATTTGAAATTTCCGTAGTTCTACTATAGAAGAAAAGAAGCAGAAATATCTCAAGAATATTGGTTGCAGGGGCGGAGCTAGGATTTTAGTTCAGAGGGGGCACAATGCACTTGTTGAAAAAAAAAAAAAAAATTTAATAAATATGGCAAATAGGAAGTATAATTTTTTTAAATCAAAAAGGCAAATAAGAAAAAAATAGTTGTAAAATAATATACTAAATAAATACTGTAAAAAAAAATATATAGTTATAAATATAAGAATCAAAATATTAATTAATAATATTTTAATTAAATACAATCACAAATGTCATTGATAAAAAGAAATAAGTTAAAAAAAAAAAAGAAAAATACATAATTATACATAAGTGAAAAAAGAAATTTTTTTAAAAAGGAAACAAAAATTAGAAAAGGAAAAATATATTATATAATTGAAGAAGGGATATATATAACTTTTTTTTTTTTTTTACAAAAGGAAATTAGAAGAATTTGAAATTTTGAGGGGGGGGACTATTTAAAATTACCATAAAAGTATATGTATATACCAAAAATATGTATTTATGTATAGTAGGTTGGAGCAAAGTGAGGGGGGGCACGTGCCCCCTCTGGGCCTTAATTGGCTCTGCCTTTGATTGGTTGCATGAGAAGAAAAGAACTGGCACAATAAAATAGGTTAAATGTACAATTTTCTTGAACTTGAGCCCACTCAAGAACAACACGAGGAATTATTAAGTACCATAGTTTGTAGATCAATCAACAAATAATTGGCAATCCTCTAGAGATGATTCTGATAAAAGGTGACAAAAAAGCTCAAAGAGAGACAATTTTGCTGCTTAAGAACATGTTCAGAGAAGTCCAACTTCCAAGGTGATGCCTTAATGCCTTGGCAAATTTTTTTTTTTTTTGGTAAGTTTAATGCCTTGGTGTTGGAAATCATATCTATAGGTTGACTCGATTATTGTGGCAGATTTATTTAGTTTTCATTATAGGCTTATGTTTAGGCTTTTGTTTAGGGATTTGATTTTTATTCTCTATCCATATTTGTAATTTTTCTCTTGTATATAATGATAGTCAGGTTCTCAAATTGAGTACGCCCATTTTGCCAAATTGCTTTTTGGTATCAAAGCCTCAAACCTACGTCTCTCCTCTCTCTCTCTCATCACAACTCCTTTCCTCTTTCTTTCTTTTCATCGCAAACTCACTCTCTTCTTCAGGCCGCTATTGTGATAGTCCTAGGGGGAGCCAATCTCCTCTAGGGTCGACCCCGATAGGGGTACTCCCTTAGTGTTTTTCATGCACCAAATGTCAGAAGACGTGTTTGCAATTTTTTGGGGTTGCCAGGATATTCGGCAGCGTTTTCAGATCGGACTGTCATGTCTCCGGCTTCTTGGTTTGATCAAAATCAGGTTTATTCCTCATTTATTTGAAATTATTGGTGATCTGTTGAATTATTCTATTTAATATTATAACTGATTCAAGTAATAATAAAGAAACTCTCTCTTCGGTGCAACACACACCAGCTCAACGAGTTACTAGTGTGCTGTTGAATAGCTGTAATTTTGCATCCTGGTCTCGTTCCCTCCACCTTTATGTTGGTGGAAAGGCAAATCAGGGTGGCTTTTAGGTGTTGAAAAGATGCCAGATATTAAAGATCCTAAATATGCTTAGCGGGATATGGACAATTGCACTATTTTAGGATGGATGTTTAGTTCTATGGAGGAATGAATTTATAATATAATCATGTTTTATGACATTGTTCACGACTTTTGGACTGCTTTGAATCAAATGTATGCTCATTCTAGGAATGATGCTCGTATTTTTAAGTTATACCAGGATATTGCTAATGCCTGAATTTGTCTGTACCTAATTACTTTAGGTATTTGAGATCTCGTTGGGAGGAATTGGCTCAATATGAGCCTCTGAGTGAATTTCCTCCCGAGGCAGCCTCTCTTCTCGTCAAATGTCGCCAGCATACCTATCAATTTTTCTTTATGGGATTACACCCAGAATTTGAACCACTTAAATCTCAGATCTTGAATGCATTACCAATGCCATCCCTGTTGAAAGCCTTTGCTACTGTTGATGGTGAAGAACGCAAGCACCGTTTAATTTAGCCCTCATTTGTTCCTCCACCAGTGTCTTACCCTGCTGGGGATAGTATGGCTTTTACAGCCAACTCTGGATCACGTAGTATTGGAGGTCAGATTATTTGTCACCATTGTGGAGGGGTTGGACATGTTAAGGCTCGCTGCTTCAAACTTCATCCTAAACTGAAGCAGAAATTTGCTAAGAACCGTTCATCTAGAACTGGTTCTTCTCGTACTGCATTTGTTGCAGAGATTCCTGCTACTACTGGTGGACCTACTATATTTCCTGGACTGAGCTAGCTTCAGTCTCAAATTGGGCAGATCCAGGACCAACTTGGCTCCTTTTCTTCCAGAGTTGGTGCTTCTCCAGCTGCTCCCACTACCACTATTGCTACAGGTACTCCTACTACATTTCATGTTAAGGCCAAGCAGCTTACCGGGGTTCTGGATTTTGGGGCTAATGATCACATGACTGGTGAGTTATTAGTTTTTTCTTCCAATGTCATACCTGTTACCCAATCTGTGTCTTGCGTATGGCTCTGTATTCACAGAAAAGGTGATGTTTGTCTGTCTCCTAATATTACTCTTTCATTTGTCTTTCATGTACCTAAATTTGCCTTACCTTTTATCTGTTAGCCGACTTGCAAAAAACTTCCAATGTGCAGTTATATTCTTATTAGATCACTGTTTTTTGCAAAACCTTTGTTCGAAGAGGATTTTTGGCAGGGATTATGAGCGTGATGGGCTTTACTTTAGGGAACCACCAAGAACGGGACTTCAAGCTTCTGTTTTCCCTGCTTCTAGTGCTTATGATGTTTCTTTTCGCACTTTTAGTCTATGGCATGCCCGTTTGGGGTATGTAAACTTTCAGTATCTATGTTTATTGTTTCCTTCGTTAAATAAAGCATGTAAGGACCATAAGTTTTAATGTGAAATATGTGAGCTTTACAAACATACTAGAACTAGCTATATTTCTCATATAAGTCGTGCACCTAGTATGTTTGATCTTATCCATTCTGATGTTTGGGGCCTTCCCCAGTTATTACTGCTTTCTCTGGGCATCGATATTTTGTGACATTTATTGATGATTATTCTCGTTGTACTTGGGTTTATTTATTGAAAAATAAATCTGAAGTGCTTCTTTTATTTACCTAGTTTCTTCAAATGATCAAAACCCAGTATAAAACTATTGTCCATAATATTCGTTTTGATAATGGGCGTGAATATGTTTCAAATGAGTTCCGAACTGAACTTAATAAAAAGGGGATTACCAACAGGCATGTGGCCTAGCGGTACAAGGCTCCTACTTTCCAAAGGAATGTTAGGGGTTCGAACCTCAGTGGAGGTAGTGTGTGTGAGTCTCAACTAGGAAAAAAATAAATAAATAAGGGATTTTATATCAACTCACTTGTCCCTACACTCCTGAACAAAATGGTGTGGTTGAACGCAAAAACCATCATCTTATGTCTGTGAGTCGATGTCTTTTGAGTGGTATACATGTGCCTAAATTCTATGGCATGCGGTTGTTCTTACAGCTGTTTTTCTGATTAATGGTACTCCCAGTCAAGTTTTGGGTGGTAAGACCCACTTCAGATTCTCTAGCCTAATTATACATTGTTTAATCTTTTGCCTCGTGTTTTCAGCTGTACTTGTTTTGTTTATAACGGTAGTCCTTCTCGTCATAAACTTAATGATAAATCTATTAGGTGTATTTTCTTGGAGTATTTTGCTATGTCAAAGGGCAATCGTTGTTATGATCTTGTGGCCAAACATATGTACCATTCTCTTAATGTGACATTTCATGAAACTGTTCATTTTTATAGTACTAATTTTGTGGTACAAGATTCTCTCTCTTGTGGTCTGGAGAAGGAGATCTCTCCTATTGCCTATCCTGTTTCTATCTTTAAAGATCACACTGTCCTGGAATCTCCTTCTCCACCCATGTAGGTTCCCCTCCGCCTTTGCAGGTTTACTCTCGTCGCCGTCGCACTCAACCTCCCCCGCCAGAATCATCTTTAGAACCGGGTCTAGGTAACTCTCCTTCTCCTGTGGCTCCTATCATTCCCAAGCATACATCCCGTTATCCTACCCGTGGTCGTCACCCTCCTAATTGGTATGGTTTCTCTAGTAGCACTAACCACCCTATTTCCCAGTATGTCTCCTATGATGATCTTTCAGGTGCATAAAAATCCTTCTTGGGCAAGATTGGGTGCGTTTTTATTCCTCAATCAGTGTCAGAAGCCCTCCAGGATCCTAATTAGGTGTCTGTTATGACAACAGAAATGGATGTTTTACAGTGTAATAATACATGGGAACTTGTTTCTTTACCTGTTGGGGAGAAAACGGTTGGCTGCAAATGGGTCTTTTGTGTGAAGTACTTAGCCGATGGTTCTATTGATCGGTATAAGGCTCGGTTGGTGGCGAAAGGCTTTACTCAGATTCTGGGTAAAGTATTGGTGTTACCTTTGCTCCTGTGGCAAAGTTGACATCTGTGTAATTGCTTGTCGCCTTGGCTACTGCCCATTCTTGGCATTTGCATCAGTTAGATGTCAAGAATGCATTTCTTAATTGAGACTTACTTGAGACTATATATATAGATCCACCTCCTGGATTTCGAGCTAAGGGGGAGTATGCTGGGAAAGTCTATCGGCTGTGGAAGTCTCTTTATGGTCTGAAGCAATCTCCTAGACCATGGTTTAGTCGTTTCAGTGATGTTGTCCTATTCATGGGCTTTGTGCACTGCCACTCAGACCATACTTGCTTTATTCGACGTCGCTATGATGGTTGTTGCATTATGTTATTAGTATATGTGGATGATATCATTATCACAGGTGATGATGCTTCAGGGATTGCTCAGGCAAAACTTCCTATTCAAAAGTCCTTTGATGTAGGACTTAGGTCCCCTTCGATATTTTCCTAGAATTGAGGTTGTTAGATCCCGTCGAGGAATTTCCTTATCTCAAAGGAAATATGTTTTGGATCTTCTTCAAGATACTGGCATGCTTGGGTGTCGACCCACTTCCACTCCTATGGACCCCAATCTCAAACTCTCTGTTGAGTCAAGGGAATTACTTCTAGATCCATCCGTGTATCAACGTTTGGTAGGTCGTCTTATCTACTTGACTAACACAAGGCCCAATTTAACCTTTGTTGTTAAGTGTGGTTAGTCAATTCATGCATGCCCTCGCTCAATTCATATGGATGCAGTCTACCATATTTTAAGGTATCTTAAGTCGTGCCTTGGCCTTAGTCTGTTCTATGTCTCAGGAAATCATTCCAGACTCTCATGCTTTACTAATGCGGACTATGCTGGATGTAAGACAGATAGACGGTCTACCTCTTGCTTCTGTACTTTCTATGGTAATCATCTCATATCATGGAAGAATAAGAAGCAAGTTGTTGCCTCAAGATCTTTTGCTGAAGCTGAGTACTGAGCTATGGCTCAAGGTACTTGTGAGCTCCTTTGGCTTCAATCAATTTTGGGAGAATTGGATCTTGTAGAGAAAGGTTCTTAAAGGCTGTTTTGTGACAATAAATCAGCCATTATGCTTGCTTCTGATTCTGTGTTACATGAAAGGTCGAAACATATTGAGATAGACATTCACTTCATTCGAGAGTAGGTTCGGTCAGGTATCATTAATCCTATTTTTGTCCCCTCTTCAGAACAGACTGCAGATGTGTTCACAAAGTCTATTGGGTCTTCTCTTCTTCAGTCTTCCATAGTCAAGCTGGGCTTGATTAACATATTTGCTCCAGCTTGAGGGGGAGTGTTGAAAATCATATCTATAGGTTGACTCGATGATTGTGGCAAATTTATTGGGTCTTCATTATAGGCTTATGTGTAGGCTTATGTTTAGGGATTTGATTTTTATTCTCTTTCCATATTTATAATTTTTCTCTTATATATAATTATAGGAAGGCTCTCGAATTGAGTACGCCAATTTTACCAAATTGCTTTTCTTGGCAAATTAGCATGTGATGCATAAGAGAGAATGAAACAATGAATGCTCGGTGATCTGTTTGAGCATTGAATGAAAGCCTAAATCTGAACAAGATCACTTCTTTCCAAAAAGCTATATATGTATCTGGATTCTGGTCACAATGACCATCAAAGAAAAAAGGAAAAATGGAACTCCTCCCCATTTGAGATAGCCACATGGAATTACCACTTCATGACATGATAATTTACCTCAATTCTATTGGAGTAGCGATGAGGTTAGCCAGCATCACACTTGGAGCATTGCACAGAGATCCAAGCACTGCAATAGCCATCCCACATAGAAAAATAGTGACCCCTGTTTATCACAAAAATTAGAAGAAGGGGTCATCCGAGGAACATAAATTCTATTCACAATTTCACACAAATAGGAAATATACATTAACATATTGATGTTTATAAGCCACTATTTAGGAAATCAAGGAACAATTGTGTTCGTGACTCTATATAATATCAGATGTTTGATAGTTGCTTGGAAAGATTCATTACTAAAAGAAATAAATTGAAAGATTCATTACTAAAAAGAACAAATATATTACACAAAATAGCAAAACCCAAAAGAACTTAACAAGACAACGCCGAAAACTACTTCTATGAAAATTTAATATTTTTGCAATTTCAAGACTCCGTTTAAATCATTTTGGTACATATGTTGATAAACACTGTGAAGAAAACACTGGTCCACCTAAATGACTGAATGACATCAAAACCCAAATTTCTTTTCAGAAATAAAGTCAACAAGAAGAAAGTGGACAATTAGAGAAGTTATGATAGGTGCTCTAGCTATGCTAGATAGTTTTGTTATTTGTTGGATGGTTTTATATATAATAGATATTTATAATAAAATGAAGTTCTTGTTCCCCTCGCCTGTGCGCCCGACTCCAATAATAGAAAAACAAATTTGTGAAGGATTTATGTCCACTTTGCTATCCAGGTGGTTATCTCTTCAATATTTTTATGCACTCTCAGGTATTTTTTAACATCAAGCATCCAATATACCCCTCAACAATATCCAGGTTTGATATTTTTGTTTTGTTATCCATTTACCAGATCCATTAGCAGCAGCAGCAGCAGCAGAAACTTTAGATCTGTTGTTACCTGCCATAGCTTTACATGTATATTTCACCAACTCTAAATTAAAAGCAACCTTAAAAGCAATTAATTAGCCTTACGAACTTAGAAGCACGAATTCGGATACAGGACACAGATACAATACGACACAGATATGGTGACACGGCAAATCCTAAAAAATTTGGACATGGACACAACGGGACACGACGAATAATAAATACTCCGTCTGTCCCATAGTAGTTGTCCATCTTTCCATGTTTAGTTGTCCCAAATTAGTTGTCTTGTTTCAAAAACCAATGCAATATAGTTTGTAACATTTCTAAACTACCCCTATTGCATTAGAATGATAAAATAAATTAAAGTGTCAAATGACAACTTGTGGACCCCACCATTAATAACTTTTACAGCAACATTTCTTTATTTCTTCTTGGAATTCGTAAAATCACCCATTCAAAATAGAAATTTTAGGAGGGGTGAATTAGGAAATCTATTCACTAGTATGCAATAAAATAATATTAAAACTTAATCTCTTAAAAACTGTGAATTTCAAAGTTGGACATCTAAATTGGGACATAGGGAGTATATTTTATATACATATACATATGCATATGATGTTGTACTTTAAGAAATTAAGTGTAATATTATTTTTATTAAGTGGCAACCTAATAATGAAAAACAAAATTGTGTTTTGCTAGGAAAAAGAAAGAATGGTAGAAAGAGGATTAAGAAAAAAAAAAAAAAAAATAGGATTAGGGTTTTTTTTAGAAAAAGAATTAGGGCTTAGTTAAAAATAAAGGTAAGAATCCATAAAAGATAAAAAGTTCACAGAAACAAGAGGACAAAAGGAAAAGGAGACGCAAAGAATTTTGTTGTGAAAGGAAAAAATGTATCTAGGATTTGTGAAGAAGAAGAAGAAAGAAAAGAGGAGGACGAAGAAGAAGAGAGAAAATAGGAGAGAAAGAGAGACCGAAGCTTGGTTGATGGGAGAACAAGAGAGAGTCAAAGATGATTATGCAAGAGTTTGAACCTTTGAACTAAAATATAAGCATAAATATCTTCTTCTTTTTTAATATAAATTTTTGTTTTACTTTTAAGGTGTTATGTAATGACCATCATATTACTAAAAGTTATTAAACAACTCCTCATATTTACACTTCAACCAGCTTTCTTTCTAAAACTTTCTTTAAAATCCCCAAGAATGCCTAACTTATCACCCAAAAAAAAAATCCCAAATAATGGGACACGCGTGTCCACGGCGTGTCTATACCGTATCCGAATATTCAAAAAAATGAAAAAAATTCAAACACATTTTTTGGCGTGTCAAGGCGTGTTCGGCGCGTGTCGGTGTCCAACACAGATTCTTTGCTTTTTTAGATGTGTCCATGCTTCCTAGCTTACGAATTTCCACACACTAAATATATCAAAACCATAAAGCAGCAGAAATCACTCATAATTTTAGGCACTGCAACTGACATTCCAGTTCAGTATTCACACGTGCCATGTTAGCTCTCAAAAGTGGTTACCACTTTCCATCTGTTTCTCCTCCATATTTATTTAAACACAAGGAGGGGTTTAACACTATCATCTTCTTCTTCCCCCCCCCCCCCCCCCCCGGGCGGCTTTTCTCTCATAATTAATGCCATCTAATCCTTTTTATACCCTCCGACTTACACTATTATAACATGAATATTTCATAAATACACAAATAGGTCGTTATTTGATAGATGATTAGGATCGTCATCAACTTGAATGCCATTTTCTTTTTGATGGTAAATCACCTGAAGTCGTAATGAATTAGGTATAATATATTGGCTGCTTATATTTTATGATTTACTTGTAGTTGCATTTTTTAGTTATTGCATGAGTTGGCACAATGTTATTCACAATACATGTATCTTACTTTGATTAAAATCAATATGAAGTCCAATGTATTAAGTAAAATATTTTCTAGCATCGTAACATTAAAGAAAACAATTAAAAGCATTAAAACGTGATGAACTGGGACCAAAATATGCATATCATTATGTGGTTTGATTCAGGCCATGGCCTCAGTTAGAGCGTAATGGGAAAATAGGATTCATGTAGCCGACAACAAGTAGTTGGGATTTGTTAGAATGTATATTGTTTATAGTGTTGGGTCATTATGTAATTACCCATAGTAGTTAGGGTTATTGTGTAATTATGTAATTAGGGTGTCTAACCCTTGTTCTTATATAAGCCTTATTTAGAGGGCTGCAGATTGACAATATACACAAGGATACATTTTTCTCTCTATCTCTCTCTCTCTCTTTCTCTCCCTATCTCTCATGAATCTAAACATGGTATCAGAGCGGTATAAATTCATGGGTGTGGGAAACAATAAGTATATTGCCCTTGTATGAGAGTGACTGGAATCGTGAGTATGTCGTCAGTGTCTTTGTCGGAAGTTCGTGTCGCCGGTAGGTTGAGAACATCACCTATAATCGCCATCGTCCTTAATCACCGTCTGATCTGAAGCCCGTAGTCGTCGTCGTCAGATCTGCAGCCTCCTTCGTCGCCGTCAGATCTGAAGCCCCTTGGCCGCTTGTGTTGTTGCCGCGTCGATCGTCAGCAAGCCTGCCGACACCCACCGTCGTTGTTGGCAAAGGTGAAGCTTCATCGATTCGCCCTTTTTTTTTTCTTGGTCGGAAGTTGCGGAGGTTGTGTGGTGTCACCGCTGTGTGCTCGCCGGAGTCTGTTGGTGGGGTTGTGAAGAAGAACAGCCCTGTTTGGTTGCGTAGCTATACTATTCCAATCCTGGTTTACTAAAACCAGGATAACAGAGACTTGTTTTGATCCAATCCAATTACCCAGATCTGATCCAGTTCCAGATCCGACCCGGTTCCAGATCCGAACCAAATCCGACCCGATTCCGATTCTGCATTTTCCCCAGGTTCATTTTTTTTAAATCTTCTCCATGGCTTCCAGTTCAGATCTCCTATCTCCTGCATCCTTTAATCCTCCCATGATTTCAGTCAAGCTTAATGGAAAAAATTACATTTTATGGGCCAAGTCAGTGGCCATTTTCCTGAAAGCCAAAGGCTTTGGCGATCATTTGGTTCAAGATAAACCCAAAAGAAGTGATGCTAATTTTAGTTCATGGGAACAAAGGGATGCTCAGATCATCTCCTTAATGCTAAATTGTATTGAACCTCATATTAGCTCCAACCTGTTATATCTGGACACTGTCAAGGAGATATGGACCCGACTCCAACAATTTTATTCTGGTGCTGGAAATATAACCAGAGTTTATGAGGTGTGTAGACAATTTTTTTTATCTCCAGCAAGGGACTCACAGTTTAGAAGAATACCTCTCACGGGCAATGGGACTGTGTGAAGAAATGAATATGTATCAACCCATCACCTCTGATGTGAAAAGCATGCAGCAGCAATGTGAGGATTTTAATGTTGTTTAGGTTCTCACAGGATTGTCACAAGAGTATGAACTTGTTCGTGCACAGATTTTGGGTAGCCCTACACTTCCCTCTCCACCTGATATGTTATTCAGACTCCAGCGTGCCACTTTATCTAGTGGCTCTTCAGGCAGTACTTCCAGTGGTGTCACTGCTCCTTCTAACAATGAACGTTCTGCCTTAGTTGTGAACCAGGGTGGCTTTCAGTCTTCTCGTGGAGGTGGTGGTGGTGGTCGTTTCGGCCGTGGCCGTGGCCGTGGTCGAGGCAAAGGCAGAGACTCAAAAATTTGCACTCACTGTAGTCTTACTAATCACACGATCAATTACTGTTGGGATCTTCACGGGAAACCGCCATCTTCTTCTTATGCACATCAAGTGACTGCTAGTGATGGGGATTCTTCTCTCTCTGCCATATCCACTGCTCCACATGTGGCTGTTGAGACTGCTATGGTCACGATTCCCCGTGATGAGTATGCTCAATTTCTGTCTCAACAACGGACTTCCACCTCATCTTCCATGGGGTCCTTGGCTCAATCAGGTAGTGCCCCTGCATGTCTTCTGTCCTCTAGTCAGAGTCCCTGGATTCTTGACTCTGGCGCATCCGATCACATGACTGGTAGTTCTCATCTCCCATCTGATTTTCAGTCTGTTCCTTCCTCTCAAAGTGTTACTCTTGCTAATGGATCATCAACTAAAGTCTTGGGTTTGGGAACTGTTCATCTTACCTCTTCTATGTCCATTTCCTCTGTATTATATGTTCCTCAATTCCCTTTTAATTTGTTGTCCATTAGCAAAA